GTACCACTCACGGAGCTGCTGAGGGGGGGGGATGTCACGAGTGCGCTGCTGCCGCTGCTGCTGCTGCTGCTGGCGCTGACCACCACCGGAGCCGACCCTCTGCGCAGCGCCACCCCGACCAGCTCCACCTCCTCCGCCGCCGCCTCCTCCACCGCCGCCACCTCCGCCACCTCCGCTCCCACCGCCACCGCCGCCGCCGCCTCCGCCTCCACTGCCGCCACCGACACCTCCAACCCCGCCACCACTCCCACCACCACCCCCACCCCCTCCACTACCGCCACCGCCACCTCCGCCACCCCCGCCAGCCCCTCCAGCACCCTTGCCCCCCTTGCCCTTGCCGGTGCGGCGTCTCCCGCTCGGGGCAGACGCAGCGCCGACCGACTCGAAACCAACGAGGTCGGCCGCAGCAGCAGAGGCAACAGAGGGCAAAAGGGGGGAGGGGGAACACCCCTCAAAGACGGGGGTGCGAGGGTCACCACGAGAGGCTCCTACAGCGACTATGCTCTTCTCTGCTGCTAGGAGGGCCTTCTCGAGGAGGTCAACGGTGAGAGTGGTGGGGCAAACTGAGAGGAAGTGGTCCCTGACTACGCGAAGGGAGTCAAGGAGCCGGGTGACTATGTAGTAGAGGGTGATGTACATGGGGGGGGGGTTCTTGGCGCAGAACTCAGCAGGAAGCGCAGCGCGGTAGCGAGTGTCACTAGTGCGGAGGTGCGTAATGAGGTCAGCGAGTGTGGGAAAGGCAGCAAGGTCAGGGAAGAGGTACGGTAGCATGAGGCGGCTCAGTGCAGCAGTGGCAGGGGAGGAGTAGCGCGCAACTACAGCGTCGTACAAGGTGTGAGCACTCTTGTACTGGCTAAAGTGCGCACGCTCAGAGGTAGGCAGGTGGCGACGCACAGCAAGACGTGCAGCAGCATCGCGTGTGGCCCACTGTGAGCGAACAGTGGCGTCGGCATCAGCAGCTGGGGCAGGAGAGGCACCAGAGGTGAGGTCAAAGAGGGAGAGACCGTCTGCCCTATCGCACTGTAGGAAAAGCTGCAGGTCATCTACCCAGACGTCAAAGTCAATGGCCCGACCCTCAGCGTCAAAAGCGAGGACACTAGGGGTAGCCATGACAGCAGTAGACTAGCAGCGCGAACAGTAGGGTAAGGGCAGTGCAGTGACAGAGGCGCTGCTCTTACCGGACAGGGCGGCTCGAGCGGCTCGGCGGGTCGGCAACTCGGCGGCTCGGGCGGCTCGGGCGGCTCGGCGGTACGGCGGCTCGGCAGCAACTGCGGCTCGGCGACTCGGCGGCTCGGGCGGCTCGGGCGGCTCGGGCGGCTCGGCGGTACGGCGGCTCGGCAGCAACTGCAGCTCGGCGGCTCGGCGACCCGGCGGCTCGGGCGGCTCAGGTGGCGCGGCGGCTCGGGCGGCTCTGGTGGATCGGGCGGCTCGGCAGTAGCTCGGCGGCGCCGGCGGCTCGGTGGTGACGGCGGGGCCGCGTGGGGACGGCGGCGGGGCCGGGTGGAGCGGCGGCGGGGCTGGGTGGAGCGGCGTCGGGGCCGGGTGGATTGGCGTCGGGGCCGGGTGGAGCGGCGTCGGGGACAGTAGAGGCGGCGCCGGGGCCGGGAAGCGCAGCTCCGGGGCCGGGAAGGGCAGCTCCGGGGCCGCAGGGGTAGGCGACGGGGCCAGCAGAGGCGGCGCCGAGGCAGGGAAGGGCGGCGCCGGGGCCGCAGGGGTAGGCGACGGGGCCGCGAGGACGGCTAGGAGGGGGGGGGGTCGCGAGGGCGGCTTGAAGAGGCCGCGAGGGCGGCGTGAAAGGGCCGCGAGGCGGCGCGACACGAAGGAGCCGCGAGGGTGGTGGATCGGGGCCGCGAGGGCGGCGCGACGCGGCCGCTAGGGCGGCGCGACGTGCAGGGGCCGCGAGGGCGACGCGACGGGGCCGCAGGCGCGACGCGACGGGGCCGCTAAGGCGGCGCGACAGGGTCGAGAGAGGGGAGCGCGACTCGGGCAGTGTAGAGCGCGCTCCGGGCAGGAAAAAAAAGGTGGTGGGCCCTAGGAACAGTTCCCACAGGGGAACCTGCTCGATACCATGAGAAACTGAACGAGAATGAATTGACTAAGGGAAAGTTGGGTACAAATGTAAACCCTAGAAAACTGTACCCCATATGTGCTACCCCACTATAGCCTACAATAGCTATGTCATATAAATCTGACAGTCCACGCTTTGGGGTGTATGCCGTCGGCCCATGCCCTCCAACGCGGTGGGAACGAGCGTACGCGCCCTCCGCGCGATCCATAGCCGCCACATCAGCTACCGCCTGCGTGAACGGGCGGGAAGTCAGGAGACTCTTCTGTTGGTAGAGCTTGAATCGCTTTGCCACGCGGTCGTCGGTGTGGTCCTCGACTTGAAACATCACAAAACGCTCCGAAATGTAGTCGAGGGCGTTCATGACCATTTCGAGTCCGCCCGCCGTGTCGTCGTGCTGCAGCTTGTACTCCGCGTGTTTCAGGTAGGCCCTCACGTCCTCCAGGGGCTCCGCCTTCACGCGCACGAACGCCTTCATGAAGTTTGCCGCCGAAAAGGTGGGGGTGGTGGAAGGAAGGGGGGGGAGATTTTCCATGGATGTGACATTTGCTGCGTTGATCGGAGCCTCACCAGCGTCGTCGTCAGAGTCGTCGGAGTCGTGGTCGTCGGCTGCGGCTTCGGGAACGCTGGTAGCTACCTCCTTGTTGTAACGGCGTGTTGATGCTCCTTTCGCTCCCTTCTCCTTTTTCGAATTTTCGTTTTTAGCCGAAATCGATGCCGTCCGTTGTGTAGTTTCGGCTTCAATTGCGCTGGCGGATCGATGCTGTAACAGGGACAGGAGCGCCTTGACTTGGTCCGGGGTCAACGTCTGGGTCAAGTCCGGGTCAACGGTCGCGTCAGACGAGGCGGCCGTACGGCGCCTCTGGCGCTGACGCGACTGCCTGTGGGGCGCGTGTGCCTCAGGCGCGTGCTCCGCGCCAGTCGCGTGTGGCGCCACGTTCGCCACTGGTGCCACGGGTGCCACTGGCGCAACAGGCGCCACAGGCGCCACAGGCGCCGAAGGGTGCTGCTGGTGCCGCTCGGCGTTTTTGTTGACCTCGAGCCCGCCCAGCAGCACGTCGACAGCTGTTGGGGGGGACGTTTCGCCGTCTGCCCGGCGCTTGTTGCGGCGCTCGCCCGACATTTCCCGGGCGTTACGATCGGTGTCAGAAATATTCGAGTCGTTGACGACGGTGTTGTTCACGCGGTTAAGTTTCTGCGTAGCAGCCATAGTCGAGCGGTTGTGGTTGAGAATGTCAGCTAATAAAGTTGAAGGTGAAACGCCTCTCGGTAGAGAGCGAGTTCTAGCCAGCTTGAACGGAAAACTAGAAATGAGCTCGAGGAACTGAGAGTTGCATGAGCCGTTGGAAAATGAGAGACGTGGGTGGAGGGGAATGGGCTCCAACCCACGTTTTGTAGTTGGAGAAGGGCGTTTAGCGCGCTTCGACGATGCTAAATCTGCGTTACAGGCAGCTGCGCTTTCGAAATACGTAATTTTGAAAAACACTTCGTGTGTTTAAAAATTATCATATGTACTCTGCTTCCGCACTAGAGAGCGATATGTCAGCCAACTTTTTCGCTTGCCACATGATTGCTGTCCCGCCGAGCAGAAACACGTAACCGTATGCTCCCTTCCTTGTTTTCTTGTCGGATGCGTGTGAAGCATCCGCATACCCCACTAACTCCAGGGTCTCTTCACCTCCTTCAAATAGCAGCCCCTCATTTTCATGTTGCAGGAGGTAGTCGATGGTCCTCCTCATCTCTCTCCACTTTCTCTCCCCTTGCTGCTGCACTTGTTGCCCAAGGTGGCTAGCTGCGTATGCCATGTCCACGCGTGTGCATGAAACTGGGTACATTATGGACCCCACCACGGACTGGTATACCTGTAGAGCCCTCTCCTTGCTACCCCATTGGTTGACATCTTCCTCTTGTTCACCGTCGTTTTCAGCTACCCCACTCAATGGTGTAGAAATCGCCTTCGTGTATCCATTTCCAAACCTCTGCTGCACCCTGCTGCAATATTTCTGTTGGTACAGAAACATCTTCTTCTCCTCCTTACGCCTCTCCAGATTCATGCCGAGAAAGAGTGTGGTCCTCGGAATCTGCTTTACTTGAAAAACTTCCGCAATGTGAGTGCACACCTTCTCTACCTCCTCCTCTAACGCCCCTGCCACCAAGATGTCATCCACGTATAGCACCAAGAACACCTTCTCCTTCCCTTCTCCCTTCCAGTAGAATGCCCTATCACACTCACTTTTCTGAAATCCCCCTTGCAGTAGCCGCTCATCCATCGCCATATACCACTCCCTAGGACTTTGCTTCAGCCCATACAGTGCCTTGTTGAGCTTGCATTTTCTGCCCGAACCGTCGTCATGCCCTGGTGGTTGCTCGAGGTAGATTTCCTCCTTCAGCACCCCATACAAGAAAGCATTTTTCATGTCCAACTGCACCATGAAGTATTTCCTTGCTGCCACCACTTTGAGAAAGACCCGTGTCGTTGTCAACTTGCTCACTGGAGCATAGATTTCGTTCTGGTTGAAGTCCTTCCCCTCCACCTGAGTGTAGCCCTTGGCTACAAGCCTCGCTTTGAACCTTTCCAGTTGCCCCATATCTCCGGTCTTGATCTTAAAATCCACTTCACCCCCACGGCTTTCCTCCCTTCCGGCATAGGCACGAGCTCCCATGTGCCTCTTTCAGCCAATGTGTTCAGCTCCTCCTCAATTGCCGCTTTCTACTGCTCCCTTTCTGGACCCTCTAGCACATCCTCGATGCTCACTGGTTCTTTGGGTAGGTTGTGAGTCGCTTTTCTTTCATTGGAGACTAGGTCAGTAGCTGTGGCAGAGAGTAGGAAGTGGGTATGGATGTCCTTCCAGCACGTCATCAGCAGTTGCGCATACCGAGGGTTTGCTTTCTTCACCCTCTTTCCTCTCCCCAACTCCTCTGCAGGTGATTCGACCTAATCCTCACTAGAATCCGCCAATGCTTTCCCTTCTCCATCCTTCACTTCCCATCCAATCACGATGGCGCCCTCCTCAAGTAAGTCCTTTATCTCTTTCATCTTGGCATTGCTGTCATCACTGTTTAGAAGCTTCCAAGGATCATGATATCCTTCAGCCGCTGATTCTTCATCTCCCTCTTCTCCAGCCACTTCATCAATGCCACCCTCAGCTACTTCATTGCTTGGCTGCTCCCCTTCTATCTCCACTCCATTGATTTCATCCGCTTCACTGGTTGGTGCCTTCTCCCACACCCAATCAACTGAATCTGCCCGTTCCACATCTTCGAGTTCCTCATCTCCTTCATCTCCAACTCCTTCACTCTCCTTCTCCTCCAAAAGATCCTCCACCTTATCTGGTGTAGTTGCTGTCCCTGCTGCTGCAATCTCTTTATCTACTCCCTTCCACTGCAGGTAGTTCACCTCCTCGTAGAAGACAACATCCCGGGTGATCGTGACCTTTCCTGAAACTACATCCTTGATCACCCACCCCTTGCTCACCGGGCAGGTACCGAGGTTAATCCCCCAATGAGCCTTGGGCAGCAACTTATGATCCGGACCAGCTGGCTCCCTGTATTGCACCATACTCCCCCACACCTGTGCAAACCCCAGATTTATCTTCCTGCCATAAAAGGCCTCGTGGGGAGTCATATCTGCCCGAAGTCCCTTGGTAGGTAGGCGGTTCTTGGACCAGCAAGCCATAGCCAATGCATCACCCCAGAATTTCAGTGGCAGCCCACTGTCGGCCAGCATGCTTCTCACACTGTCCAGTAGAGATCGATTCACTCGCTCCGCTATGCTGTTATGCTGTGGAGTGTAGGGTACAGTCAACTGCCGTCGGATACCCTTGCTCTGTAAAAACTTGTTGAACAGCTCACCGGTAAACTCCCCGCCATTATCTGTCCTCAAAACTTTCAGCACCTTCCCACTTTGCCGCTCTGCTTCCGCCATCCAAGTCACGAAGCTAGGAAACACTTCTGCCTTATCTTTCAGCTCCGTCACCCACGTGTGCCTCGTTCCCAAATCAGTGAAGGTAACGAAGTAGCGGCTGCCGTGTCGTGACGCCACCCTCATAGGCCCACACACATCGGCTGCTACGATGTCCAAGGTGCCATAAGGCTCCTGCACCTGGTGGCGGGGATGTGGGGATTTTGTGTTTTTACCTTCCAACAAACTTGCTGCATTTTCCCTTGCTTTCAGGCCCCTCCTTCAGTGCCACACCTTTTACCATGCCCTTTTTGACCAACTCCTTGACCCTATCCATGCTTGCATGCCCCATGCGCCTGTGCAAGGTTTCTAAATCCACTTTCTCCACCCCAACCACCATGGCTGAAGCTTCCTGCTGAAGCTCCTTCACAGGTAAGCCATCAAGCCGAGCCTTCAACTCTTCCCTAGCTAGGTCTCCTTCGAATGATGTCAGGTAGGTGGCATTCTCATCCTCCAACCCCTTCTTCCTCAGCTTCATTTCATACAACCCTTGATTTCTGTTCCCTTCTGCAACCACCTTCCAATCCTCATTGAAAACCCACAACTTTCCTTTGTCGCTGAAGATCTTGCACCCCGTGCTGTCAAGTTGAGACTGGCTGATCAGATTTAGTGAGAGCTTCTCTACAAAGAGAACATTTTCCAGCTTTAGCTCCCCGTACTCTCCTTGGAGTAGCAACTCTCCTTCCCCCTTCACAATCAGCTTCCCTTCATCCCCCAAGAGCACATACGGTACGTTGGAGTCCCTCAGATTTGTAAGCCACTCGCAGTGATTGGTCATGTGCTGAGTGCACCCACTGTTCATGAACCACGCTGCTTCACCGAACCCTTTTGCCACCAAACACACCCCCGATGCCCTTGCCACGTTTGCCTTGTGAGCTCCTCCCAAGATGACGTCCGCTTCACTGTTTTCAGCTTCCACTGCATTTGTTTTTGCTGCTGCTGGTTTGTTTTGCTGCTGGTTTGCCCCTTGGTAGTTCCTGCTGTTGGGGTTCGAGTAGCAGTTGGCTGCCCTATGCCCAATTTTCTGGCAATAGTGACATGCCCCTGAAAATCCGGCTCTCTGCATCTTGTTATCACCTCGAACCTCCCCCTCTCTCTGCTGCCATCCGTTCTGCAGCCCCTTCTGTTGCGGACCGCTCCATTTCCCCTTGAAATTTCTGCTCCTTGGGTTGTCATAGCAGTCTATCTGCTTATGACCCTTCTTCCCACACTGAAAACACGCCCCGAAACCTCCATATCCTTTCCCTGTTGCTGCTGCGTTTACCATAGCATGTGTGACTGGTCCCATTCCATTCAAGCTAACCTCCTTCCTGAGCCGATCAGCTTTCACCCGCTCCAAAGCTTGGAGCGTCTCCAACAGCTTGGTCATATTTGCGGGTGGGTTGCAGGTTAGGAGCCCTATCTCTGCTTCCCACTCCTTGGGCAACCCACTAATGATGTACCCCATCATTTCACCTTGAGTTTTAGCTGCCCCCATAGCCTTGAGGTCGTCATTGTACCCCTTCGCTCGATTCATGTAGTCAATGGCCCTCTCCCTCGGCTCCATATTCAATAGAAGGAGTTTCTTCCGAATGGCGGCTTTGTTGGTATCCGTAAGCCCAAGTTAAGCTGCTTCCATGTACTCCCAGGCTCGTTCGGCAGAGTTCTCCTCTCCCGCAAATTGATCCAGCCCCACTGCAATGCTGTCCGAAACCGAATGACACAATTGGAAAAAAGCTTGCTAACTCCTTTTTTTGAATGACGCATTTTCTTCTGGTTTTTCTTTTGCAGATGGTGGGACGCCCTCTCCCGTCTCCCACTCGGGATGATAGTACGGCCAGAGATCCACTTCCTCCGCTCTACGAATGAACCTGAGTCGCCACGTGCTATAATTCTCTCCATGGAATCGTTGGGCCTCGCTAAGCCCAATTGTTGGTTTCGCTGTTAACCGAGCTTGTGCTAACGCTGATAGGATGGCCTGTAGTTCTGAGCATCCAATGCTCACAGAGGAGCCTGAACTCACCTCAGTATGATTGCCTGTCATACTTAATAAAGTTCGCCTATCCTTAAAACGCTAGAACACGCCTTAAACCAGCTCTGATACCAGCTCTTGTATGTGCGCAGCCTTTAGTCTAGACTATGAAGACTAATTAGAGTCTTAGTAGCTTGCATGGGAAGCTCTGGCCTCAACTGTGTGAAGGAATTTGCTGAAAAACAGCAAGACAAAAAGTTCCAGTGACTTCATTGAAGAAGGCATACAAAAACAGAAAACACAAAGCAAGTTATAAGCAAAAGGATTTCTGATTTCGCCCTCGCGCCGCGCCTAATTTCGAGCGGAGTTGTACTCGGCTCGATTTCCGAATCCAACCATGCGCCGAACGCGCCTCAAGTTTGTTGAAAGTAATGAACGAGAATGAATGCATTGAACAGAAGTTGGGTACAAGTACTAACCCTAATTGGGTTGTACCCCTTATGGGCTACCCCACTATAGCTACACAAAGGAAAAGCTATAATTTTTTGACACACCCCCATAGGCAAAGTGGGGGAGAACAAGTGGTCACAAGACCAGTCAAGAAAAGCAAAGCAAGCTCAGGGTGGATCACAAAGTCACCACACAGTCCGAGCACAAGCAAAGGGCCACAAAGCCAGTTCACATGCAGAGTTATATAAAAGAGAACAAATAATACAGTGATCATGTCCTAGGAAGTGCAAGCATGCAAGCATATATATAGATCACAGTACAAGCAGAGTCACGCAGCAAGCAAGTGAGGCAAAGTAGACACAAGGCCTAACACAATAGAGAAGCGCTGATGATCACCAGGCGGTAGTGCCTTGGTGAATATATCAGCAGTGTTGGCCCTAGTGGCCACGTACGCAAGACGAAGCTGACCACGCTGCTGCAACTCTCGAGCAAGGAAGTATCGCAGAGCGATGTGCTTCGTTCTGTGCTCCAGTCTGTGCTCTTGACACAAGGCAATCATGGCCTTGTTGTCTACGTACAGAACTGGAGGCGAACGAGGCTGCTCTCCCAAGTCAGTCAGCAAGTAGGTGAGCCAGCGTAGCTCCTGTGCAGCCATGGCCCCGGCGTAGATCTCAGCCTCACAACTGGAGCTGAGAACCAAAGACAAGCGGGTAGACCGCCAGGAAACAGAGCCAAGGCCAAGGCTGAAGGTGTAACCCTGTGACGACCGCTGCGTAGCTAAGTCGTCAACCCAGAAAACGTCTGCGTGACCGGTGAGGACAACTGGACCCCGTCCTCCAAGCACGAGCCCCATGCCTGACGTACTGCACAAGTAGCGCAGTACCCTCTTCGCAGCATCCCAGTGCACCTTTTGGTGCCTACCGGGAGCCACGTAGCGAGCCAGGAGGCTGAGAGGGTATGCGAGGTCAGGTTGAGTGCACGTCATCAGGTACATGAGGCAACCCACAAGCTCTGGGTACGGACCACTCGGCTCTACGGACTCGTCAAAAGGTGGAGGAAAGAGCGAGTGGCCGGTAGACAGAGGAGTGGGCTGTGGTGAGGAGAACTGGAAGCCGAAGCGCTGAAGGACCTGGTGCACCAAGTGTGACTGAGTTAGGGAAATGGTGCGCCGAGCTCTGTCCCGGGTGATATGCAAGCCAAGATAGCTGCGAAGTTCACCCACGTCAGTGCATGTGTGTCTCGTCTGCAGCTCCGACTTCACAAGGGTCAGTGCCTCAGTGTCAGCAGTGGCAAAGACGAGGTCGTCGACGTAGACGAGGACGTAGAACGGCGGCAGCGAGGTGTTGGTGCGTAGAAACAGCGACGGGTTAGCAGTAGCAGGAGCAAACCCAAGAACCGCAAGTGTTGTCCTCAGTGTGTCGTGCCACTCGCGAGGCGCCTGGCGTAGACCGTAGACTGGCCGCCGAAGACTCCACTGAGTACCTGCAGGAAAAGACTAAGTGAAACCAGGTTGGCGGCGCAGCCAGATCTCCTCGTGCAGGCTGCCCTGCAGGAATGCTGTGCTGAAGTCCAGAGAGTGCAACTCGTAGTCACGCTGAACAACGACGTGCAGCAACACCCGAAGAGTAGTCATCTTCGGGGTGGGGGAGAAGGTCTGTAAGTAGTCAACCCCCTGTCGCTGACTGAAGCCTCGAGCAACGTAACACACCTTGAAGGCAGGCGGAGAACCCGGCGGCCGCTTCACCCTGAAGATCCACGTGCCATCGACTATGTTCGCCCCAGGTGGGGGAACCTCATCAACGTAGGTGCCAGTGGACTTCCAGGATGCCATCTCGGCATCCATGGCTGCCTGCCATTGAGAGGAGTAGGGACCCGTAATCGCCTCTGCGTAAGAGTGCGGGGTCGGGATGTCTGGTGCATCTGGGTCTCCTTCAGGGGCAAGCACCATGGAAGCAAAACGAGGTACAGCAGCTGCAAGACACTCAAAGTCCTCCTGCCTGTCCTCAAGGACGTCCGTGCCAAGAGCACACTCACCCCTGACGGATGGAGGACTGGCAGACGCAGACTCAGCAACTAGAGCAGTGGTGTAGTCTAGACAGCACGCAGCAGCAAAGTCAAGCAGCTGAGCAACGAGAACAGACGCAGCAGCAGACTCAAACGAAGGGTCTGTGACAGCAGTGGCGAGGAGACGAGAGACACGAGACTGGCAGCACGAGCGCGGTCAGACTCAGGGTCAGGGACCTCAGGAAGAGAGGACTCAGGAGGAGCAGGCAGAGGAACACGTAGGGAAACAGAGGAAGGACGAAGGGTCATAGCGTGCGTGCCGGGGACAGGAGGAGGACGCGAACGAGGAACATGACGAGCAGTGCAAACAGGCGAGACAGGACGAGACGCAGGCTCACGACGCTCTGTAAGACCGCCGGACTGCTCAGTGTAAGGAGAAGGAGCAGGCAGTGGAGAGGCTGGTTGTAACGGCGGCTGCGACTGGTCAGGCGGGGGATACAGGAGGGGAGGAGTAAGGCTAGAAGAAGATGGGGTACCAAGAACCTGCTGAAGCAGGGGAACGAAGTACGGTCGCGGCCACACAGCGCCACCAGGGTCAACAACTCCAGCTCCTCTAGCTCCAGCACCTCTAACACTAGGGCCTCCAACTCTAGCGCCTCCTGCGCCAGTGCCTCCCACTCCA